TATTATTTACTACATAATTTATTTTTGTATCTTCGATACAAATATAAATTTTATAGTAAATAATATGAGCTAATTGGCTGCGTTCGCGATTCCAATTTTTTTTTTTTTTTTTTTTTTTTACTTATTGTGCATATTATCAAAATGATATTTTTATTTTGATTTTTCAAAGATTAGGATGTATCATGTAATAGTTTTTTTTCATAACTCCCATTATTGATATATTTCATCAATATGATTTTGTTTATTTTTCTATAATCCTTTTCTTGGTTTATAACTTATTTTATTTATATATATATGTGTATGTGTATGTATGTGTGTATAATGTATTTGTTAACTTTTTGGTCACTTATTTACACATTACATAAATTTATTTATTCTTTTAATTATTTAATTGCTAATATATTTATTCATTCATTTATCTAATGATTAATTTTTAGATTTTTATGTTTTGTTCATTTATGTATTTCATAAATTTATTTATTTATTTATTTATTACTTTATTGGTTTTGTTATATATATATGTTCATTCATTTGGTAGTGATTTATTTATTTCTTAGTTTTGTTCATTTATATATGCATCAAATTATATATTTATTTTTTCATTTCGTTAATGATTTATCTAGATTTCTTAAATGATCTTTTTATTTTATTTATTTTTATTTTGAATTTGTTTTTTTATTTCTTGACTTATTTATTTTCACATATATATTTATTTAAATATTTTGTTTTGTAATTCACTTGTAGATTCCTTTAAATACTAAAATTTCTTTCTTTTCTTTATTTACTTGCAAATTTATTTATTTACTTGCAAATTTATTTATTTGTTTACTTCTTTATTTACCTAGTTATTTATATATTTATTTTTTTATTTTAATAATTTGATAGACTTTCTCGGACGAACATTAATCAATCAATGAATTATATCAAGGCATCCACAGCGGTAATCAATTATCGAAGAAACTATTTCGCGAACGTCTTGGGACAATTAATGTTTCTTGCATCACGGAATACTATGATTAAGCAGTTTACTTTCCATCCGATCGACGTAACTGCGATATTGTTCATTTTCTTGGAAGTGGTACGTAATTTTAAGTTCCACGCCATCGAACCGTATCGATGAGCGCTTACGACGTTACTTTAATAGCGGTCGAATCGGAAATAGTAATAAAAACCACTCGCCACAACAATCAATTCACTATAAATATTTTTGTGAAACTGTATTGTTGTCAGGTGTAAGCCATTTTGAGAGTAAAACTCTCGGATTGCTTCACGCTGTGTTAAGAGTGATTGTTTAATGTGTTAATGTGAATTTTGGTTTGAGATTGACTAAGAGTGCAAATAAATCTGAGAATAAAATTGTCGAGATTTTTTCGTATGAGTTCCGCAAATATAATATAAATTAATTTTCAGATGGTATGTGTAAAGAAATCGATTACAAATTGAGATGAAATTTAAATACAGCGTGTTTGTGTGTATGTGGTGATAGACAATGTGGAAGACAGTGTATATCTACATAAATCGTTAAGTTTATACAATACAAACGAAAATAGTTATTATTTCGAAGATGTAAACATTCAATAAATTTTTTAAAAAAACTTTTACCTTTAAAGCATAGAATATATTTATAATTACATGGAAAACACATTACGATTTAAAATATGTCGACTTTTATTAAATTTCAACGATACTCTTTGAAAATAATGTCGTTTAAATCGAACATACATTTACAAATTTCGTCCATTACGTGTTTATGCATGTAAAAATACAATACATATTGCACGATTTATTCTTTCAGATTGAACGCGCTTTTTCATTAACAATTATAAATGCATATGAAGCTTCGTTATCGTGTAACATTAATTATTTTCAGCGACTATTTTATAATTTAAAAATTAATTATTTGTAAATTAAAAACAATACATTTATTCAATTTAAAATATACACATTGTGAATTATGAAGACGTTTCAAGTTGAATTTAAATAAAAATTCTGAAATTTAATTTGCATAATTATTAATATAATATAATAAATGAAAATGTTCAATATTCTGAAGCATTTAATTAAACATGAAATATATATATATATATATATATATATATATATATATAAAAATATCGAAAGCATGAACAAAATAATTTTCCCCAATATATTTTTTAAAAAATAAACATAAATGATACTATCGTGAACTGCAATAAAATTTATTATACATAATTATAGATTAATTTTCCTAGAGTTAATATATATCCATTGTGCAATATTTCTTTCTTTAATTACAAAAATTTTTCTTGGAAATATCTTATAACAATTTACATCCAAAAACCTCGATAATAAGCCTCTTATTAGGTTCAAATAATCCGTTCCACGAATTACAAGATTATTTGAACCTAAGACAAGGAATCCAATCAAAAACGTGGCTCTCAAGCGACCAATCTGTACAAATTCTCACTTTTTCTCGAGTATACGTGATCGTTTCTTATCGAAAATTATTAATTTTACGGCCGAGTTGGACGTGCTTCGGCACTTTTGTCATTGTATAAACGGTTTTGTAGCTTTGCACAGGTGGGTGACTCGTAAAGGAAACGAGCGTCGCCATTGTACGTGCCAACGTTGATCGGCGTCTTCATCTCGTGAAGAGAAGTGGAGAGGCCATGATTCAACAGAGGGAGAGTTTACCCCCGATTATAGTTACGCATTCGTAAGAATCATGTTAAATCTGGTATGCAATGAGCATTATGCTCCTTGAACAATCGATATCCTCTCAAGCAGGCAGTCTGTCGTTGCCTGTCGGTTCACCAGTTTCTGTATCGTGTGCACGTCAAACTTGCCTAATGATTATTCGATACGTTATTTGTATTTTGAATTTTCTTTTCAATCCTGCGGACCAGTTTCTAGAAGGTAAGATCCTTAAACGAGAGTTGAATTGCTGTTGTTACTTGTGACATGAGAATCAGTTGGACCTGATGGATATATTTATTTATGTTAACTGTTTGGAAAAGGCATAAACTATATCGAGGATGTAGTAAAGAAGAAATGAAGTAAGTGCAATTTCGTTTTATAAATAATGATCAAATTTCAGAAAATAAAATCTATCGAAACTAATTCAATATCTTGGGTAAAGAAGTATTTTTTTTTAGCATGATAATAGCATGTACAATTAAATATTTCTTAAAACTTTGTAATCTAATTTTAAAATGTTTAAGATTTAGAAACGTATCTCGATAAATTAGTATGTTTATTATCAATTATCAACTCATGGTTAAAAGATTTGTTTCGAGAATTATTTAAAATTATATTTTAAAAATTAGTCTTAATACCAATCTTTATTTTCCAAATATATTGAACGATAATGTTTCGATATTAATATCGTTTTATAAAAAAAATAGATTAATCTCAGCTTACGTCTTTTTCGATTAACAAAGAGGCCACGGTAAAGTGAAACAAAATCACTATACTTCGTCATAAAAATTATTAATTTTACAATATAATCAATTAATCTGTTAAAATATCGTGAAACCTTTTCATTTTTTCTCGATGGGACATACGTTTCTTGCAAAGATCTCGAAGGAACCATTAAGAAATTTCGCTTAATTGGTATCGAAACGAATGATGTTAATGGCGTTGAATTTTTATTTTAGTCTTGCCGCTTTTGTGTAATCGATGGGGAATCTAGGTCGACAATCCGAGACTTTCGGAAATTTTTCTCGTGTTCGGTTAAATTGATACGAACGACAATTAACCCAAATATCGAAATAAAAGAAGGGCGAGCCTGATGGCGGCCAGGTAGTTCTTTAGCCAAGTTCCCGCCATGTATACGCCGTTACTGTTGTTGCAGCTCGTTCCACTCGCGTTCTCGCAAATTTTTTTCACCACGGATCGTACGTACTCGCTCATTGGTCTCCGTACAGCGAAATAATTCAACGAGAACACTTTGAACGCTTGAAATATTTGAGGCGGAAAATATTATTAAATTTTAACTTGTCGCGTGTTCATGCTCTTTTTGCTCGTACTTAGAAAACAAGTTAGAGTGAAAAGAGGTACAACAGAAGTATATCCGTAATTTTTTCGATATTTTAAATAATTTGTAAATTTGTTGATGATAATATGAATTATATATAGTTTTCTTCTAAGCAAATAATATATTTTTAATATAAATACATTTTTAAGTAAAATAATATTTTGAATGAAAAAATTAATAAATTATTTTAAATATTGCAACGTGATAATATATTAATATTTATCTTTAAAAAACTCTTTTTATTTATTCTTTTTTTTTTAAATCGTATTTTGTGATAACATATGATAAATAAAATAATTTTACTCTGTTAATATTTTTCCGCTAAAATATTGCTTTTTGAATTCTCGTTCGCTCAATTTTTGACTCGTTAAAGCCAAGTATTGGATATTTTCATCAGAGTGCAATTTTCTCTTCCTCGATTGTTCGATAAGTTCTCGATTTAAAACAAAGGTTCTTAAATTCCGTCGAAATTCATCGAACGAAGTCACACTTTAATTAATAATTTTTTCAACGAGCATACAGGTGGAAACGCAAATTCACCTATTGATTTTCTTCCAGTTGATGAGGGTCGTATTGTTGGAGGGCAGCCAGCGAGTATCGATGAACATCCGTACCAGGTAAGTATTCTAAATGATCGTTTTCACAATTGGCCAAGATTAATTGGTGAAAATCTGTCGAGCAGAAACAGTTTCTTTCGCGGCTTGCGCCAAAACAAGTCATTAAAAACCGATGTACTCTCGTGTACAACGATCGACCAAAGTTTCCGTTCAGTTTACGTTCCTTGGCCAAAGAAAAAGATCTATCAATCTCTTTCTCTCGTTTCTTTTTCGCATTATCCCAAATCCATCTTAAATTTCTCTCTTCAACACATTTTCTGCACATTTTTTCCTTTTTCTAATCACATTACTTGAGAAATTAAATTTTATATACAGAGTATCCCAGTTAGGATGGTGAAAATAAAGAATAAATTTTAATACATCAAATTAAACGATCCTTATCTACACATGTGCAGTCATTATATTAATCTAATAATGGTAATCTATAGTAAAGAAGACAATATTAACAGGAAATATGATCGCGCATATTTATAAATATTTATACAAAAGAATAAAAATATAAGTATACATATGTGATGAATTTTCAAAGTTTGTAAATGTAAATGTAAATACAGATATGATTTTCTGGTCAGGGTCGAGGATTGGAAAAATATTAATATTATCAGAGTTCTTCGTATATATTTCTCCATCGTGAATTTCACAGCCATTTCCAGATCGATCATCCGCAAAATTGATACACGCTTGCTAAAATTTATAGGTATCTCTTCGATTTCACAATCGTCACGTATGCGGTGGCTCTATCATTAGCGAGCTATGGGTCGTCACAGCTGCACACTGTGTCCAGAGGTATGCACTCTTTTGTTCTCAATTTCGTTAACAAGCACTATCGATCTCGTCATAGTACTCGCACTCGTTAATGAGCATTCCTTCGATGATTTCAGCTTCTTTGTTCGATCCATTTCGATCAAGGTAGGTACTTCCGACCTCACCGACACCAATGCCACAGTGATCAACGCGGCAGAAATTATCATTCATGAGAGGTATGAGAGAAGAAGCGCGGATTTTGACATTGCTTTGATTAAAGTGAGTATTATTTGTCTGAATGTATCTTTCATTTTTTTATTTTCGCGTTTATTTCATCGATTTTGATGGAAAGATAGATCTTGAAATTGCATTTTTTAAAATGTTGTTTTTGTAATTTCTATTTTTTGGTATCTTTTATTTTCTTTTAATAATTTTTCAATACTTATATCATTTTTAAAATGTTCTCATCTTCTTTTTTATATAATTAAGATATAATGGTTACAAAAAGTATTTGTACATCGTAAAATTTATCATAACACATTCAATTTGATTGAATTATTCGTGTCACTTAAGAATATTTTTATATGATTACAAAAATGATATAAAAATAAAGTATAGAATTTGATATAAAAAAAATAATTTTTATAGCTACTTTATCAAAAATCAAAAAATACACAGTGTATCACTACTACTTTAGGTGAAGTAGCAACACTGAGAATATCAATTAATTGTGAAAAATAATTTTATCAACGAAATAAATTTAAAGTGATTAAAAGATATGACAAAATTAGGCTTCCATCGATCTCTCTTTCGACACTTAATAAACCAACCAACTACAATTTCAGTTAAGAAAGCCATTGGTGTACAATTCGCGAGTGGAACCAATTCTATTGGCGCCGTTAGCCGATCATTACATGGCTGGTAGCAAGGCGATGGTTACAGGTTGGGGAGCTTTGAGAAGCAACGGTCCACTGTCGACGAAATTACGCAAAGTCCAAGTACCACTCGTTTCTAACGTCCAATGTTCTCGATTGTACATGAACAGAAGGATCACATCGAGAATGATTTGCGCCGGTTACGTGAATGTCGGTGGCAAGGATGCGTGTCAGGTAACCGTGTCGTTAATCATCTCTCGACACGTGGGACGTTAATTTCTTTTTAATATTACCATTAGATTGATAATGTTTTGTTTCTGGATTTTCGATAAAATTAGATAAGAAATTTGGTCGATCGATTCAAAATGAGGTAAATAGATAATAAAGGTAAATAAATAAATAGATAAAGAAAAAATCAATACAAAAAGGTAAATGATAATTATAAAATTAAAGTTTGATATGTAATAATATTATCCTTATTAATTATTATATATCGAACTTCTTATTATTCAGTAAATTTTTTTCGATTAATTTTTTATATAATGTATAAATTTAATTTTAAATTTTACAGCTTAATTTAACATTTAATTTTAATTCGAATTTATATTTTTTAATATAAAAATAAGAAGAAGCAAGATTTTATTAGAAACTCAAGGAGTGTATGATTAAGCATGTAGAATCTCATATAGATGCTTGGTCGTTCTATTTTAATCGACCTTGATAAAGATAATTGAACGAACTGAAATAACGAAGAGATCATTAAAATGAGAGCAATTAGATTAACGTCAATCTTGATATTTTATCATTTGAATATTCCACTTGTATAAAATTTTAGAAATAATAAAAAATTCTATAATAATCTTAAAATCAGAAAATAATTAATATAAAGATATAAATATTTACAAAAAGATATCACCAATTTCGATGATTTTTTAATATGTTGTCAAAATCAACATATTGAATGATATTGTGAAGATTTTATTAGCTCGTTGTTTATTAAAAAGTTATTAACAAAAACAATTTAGATAGATTAAATTAGATAATACAAACCATGAAACTAAATAAATTAAATAAACTTTTGTTCCATAATTAATTTATGTTAATTCATTAAGTTTAATTTCATCTAAAATCGAAATTAAATAAAAACTCATTTAACTATTATCTGATTTAAATATACATTAAATTTGGACTAATTTTTTCTTAATCCATGAAACTATCAATTTTTAATAGCAATAAATCTGATTAAAACTAATCATTATCTGACTTAATCTAATTTAAACTGTTAATAATTGAATGATAAGAAATGAATTTTTATTAATAACAACGATAATAAAATTTTTACAACTCAAACTGATAATATCGATATTATATTAATGAATCATCAAGATCAGAGATATCTTCTTGTAAATCATCAGTGTAAATTACGATTTTAAACAGAAAGATAAAACTGGATATCACTTTTTCCTCCGCTTAAAAAATATATAATTAAATAATTATCGTTTGCTTCTCGAATAAAATCGTATTATTTCCACAGGGGGATAGCGGCGGCCCATTGGTGCAACACGACAAACTGATCGGAATTGTTTCGTGGGGGTTCGGTTGCGCGCGGCCATCTTATCCAGGCGTTTACACGCGTGTGACAGTTCTCCGAAGTTGGATTACTGAGAAAACTGGTCTGTGAGCGTTTTGTGTTTATCCTATGCGCGAGCACGAAACGTTATTGAACCAGCTACGAACTCGGAAATTTTTCCTGCAAACATTTCGCCTCGTTACTTTACTCTCGTCATCTTCTTTGTTTGCGAAGAGAGTTGCTCGGGTTTCACGAAAAACCCCCCGGGATCGTGGTTGGTTTTTCGCTATGGCGGGATGTGACCTCGACACATTGAAATATTATATTATATTTTTCCACCGTAATTATATCACAAATTACTCGACGGTAAATTGTCTTTTCACTCGGTCAATTGCCAAGCACGAATCGTAAGTATCAATTATTTAAACTCTCCCTTTAATTTTTTATAATATATAATCGTCAATACGACTTGATTTGTATGAGTTTTTCGAGAAAATAATCCTGTTATAATCTTCGAAATTTTCGTTTGAAATTCTGTTTCGAGAAAGAAAGATCTTGAGAAGAATTTTAAACTCGAGACAGAGAATAAAATACATATCAATAATGATTCTTTTATATTTATCTCGTATATTTGAAAATAAGACTTTCAAGAGCAACTTATTTTCATCGTTAACATTAACGTTACAGTTAGAGTAAAAATCAAAGTAATGTCTGCAAAAAATAACTTTTAAATTTTTTTATTTTTATTTAAAATAATCTGAAGAACATATATATTGATCTATAATTGAATCGGTTGTCTCTCATTGAAAGTATCCCTTATTTTGATCATGCTTTCAGCATGAAAATACTATCAGTTTGTTAATGAACGAGTTGTTAGAACGTGAAAACAACGAACAGCTGGACCATTTCTCCGTTTTATGGAACTTTGGTGTTCGTTACAAAGTATTCGATGAAAACCGCTAATTAGTTTGCTCGACGATCGATAGATATTTCCCAGCTTTAATTCGCGATTTATAAATAGCTCGTGTAACAGATGTCGGGAATTTATCGCGCTTTCGAAAAAAAAAAAAAAAAAAAAAAAGTAGATACCACATTTCCCTTAAAATTCGAACGAAATTATTCCTCTTCTATTGCAACAAGCGTGCAAATATATTCACGGGCTCAATGAAACGAAAATGCATGAAAGATGCAGAAATTTCTCAAAATTTCCCCTTTTACAACTTGGCAACTTCGAAAACTTCCGTTCAATAAAATGAAACCGTACATTTGTATAAAATGGGGATAGGAAAAGAATCGTTCATGAAGAAAGAGGAAACGAAATGTAGTTACAAATGTAGTTATATATTTTCACGAAATTCTTTTGTAACATTTATAAAATGACAACGCTTTGACATTTGTGTATCTGAGATCAAAAGTAAAGTTAATTTTTATTCCAAAATTCAATTGTCATTTTTTCTTGTTTATTTTATCAGAATGATTGAAAAAAAATTCACTTTTTCATTGCAAATAGCAAAAAATATGAATGAATGAATTTTTAAATCTAATACAATAGTGCCAGAAAAAGTTTGACCATTGGAATTTTGAGGGATAATAATGGGAATTCAATTATATCCACATTATTTGAATAATAAAAAATATTTAATAAATTCTTGTCTCACACTGATGATACAATGCAAATAGAATAATTTTTATTTCTTCATTTTTAATATTAAAATTATTATTAAAAAAAATATATTATATTTAATCACTATTTTCCTCAGATATTTTCTGACTCCATAATGCAAATGTATGGTGATGATATTGCAGTTAAGGAAAAAGAGTGTAGTCAATCTCAATTTTACAGATTTACAATGACGAGATGGAAAAATTTCATCTCACACCCCTCACCCGGCATACCTTTAAAACTATAAGGGGCTTTGATCATGCCACGTGTTTCTGATAAAGCAATGTTGACATTGCTAGTTTCGCGAATATCATCTTATATATAGTGGATACCGGAATTTGCCGAGATCCACGCTAGGTAACTGCTGACACGAGTGTATACGCCCGGATGTATCATAGTTTTACACCCTAATCCATAGGATAGAACGCCAATCAGAGTCTGCCCTTCCATCAGCGGAGCACCTGGATCACCCTGCAAGCAGACAAGGGTTGACAGTTTCAGTGATTACTTGTACTCTGCCCTATCTCTTTCTCATTCTACGCTTCCATCCGTACACTTTCATGATTTTATCCACCTCTGAGTTTCGTTGATACGATCGACGATTCAAATATTCATAGAGCACGAACTAATTATTGGATTGGATATATTATGAGGAAACATTCTGCGTGAATTAAAATGAAACTTGTATGTATTATCATTTAGCGGAAATGTTTATCGGATTATTGAGATTTTTGTTTTTTATAGAGGAAAGATTCTTTTATGGAGAATGATAAAAATATCATAAGATAAAAAATGTTGATAATATAATACTGGAAATTATAATACTGGAATAATAGAATTTTATATTATGTGCATATATATATTTGTAGAATTCAATTAATCGGTAATTATTCTATCGATGGACAAATGTTAAATATATAGTGATAAAATTGAAGATAAACACAAGAATAGTTTATAGTATACGACAAAAAATTGGCAAAAAATGAAAATAAAACAATTGCTCTTTAACTCTTATAAAGTGATACTGAATCGTTTGGAATTGGAAAATCTGTCATTACCATCCGTCTATACGTACAGCATTCGTCAATAACCTGAAACACGAAACGAACGAAAAAACAGTCATCGAAAAACGAATCAAAAAGTCCAATTAGTTTGCTCCGTTTAAACCGTGTTCGCGTTCAAAAAAAATCAAATGTTTCAAAAATTGCCCCGTGTCTATCTATCAAGACAAATTATACAATCTTGATCAAATTGTACGTTTAGTGAAGTGTTATCGTAGGAAGAAAGAGAGAAACGAGAGAAAGGGAGAGGGAAAGAGAGAAATGAAAAAAGGAAAAAAGAAAAAGAAAGAAGAAAAGGATATGGAATCGATTGGCGGTAGAGAACGAAAGATATCGCTCTTTGTACGATCCCAACGAATTTTATTATTATTGTTATAACGATGGAGCGTGTAGAAATCTTCGTACTTTATGACAATTTTCTATTATACTCGGTGAATAATGTTCAGTTTCCATTCAACCGACCGTATTCAAACGTTGCTTATATACGCGAACGCATCTTTTGTGCTTAGCGTGACGATTCTGTCAAAAAATGGGATGAATTTCAGATATCGGCATTGATGGTCGTGTTTATTGTGTTGTCGATTATATTTATCGATTAATTGGATATCCTCGAAAATCTTTGCCAATTTTCTTTAGAATTTCGAGGGAATTACGAGGGAAAGGAAAGGAATGGAAAAGAATTTTTATTTTTCAATATTTTCGATTGGAATCTTTAAAAATTAGAAATAGAATTTTTAGAATGTATCTTGAGGTAATGTATCTTAGAAATTGGAAATTTGAAAAAATATTTTACTTATCTTTTACGTATCTTTTTTGTCGAAAATCGTTCATCCTCGTCTAAAGGGTGAAAATAATTCTCAAGGAAAAAGATTGAAAGCATATTTTATGAAATGTTTCAGAAACGGATGGATTTAGAAAAATTGTTCACATCATATCTATTTCAGAACATATCTTTTTTATGTTAAACATTCAAGATATCGTTTCTGTTGATTTACCATCTGTAAAATATTGCGGCATCTATCCAAAACGTTCGAAATAAATTTCTTGTTTCTGTATACTGTGTCAAGAATAATCTATTTCGACAAAGAAATATTCCACAAATTCCTTATAATATATTACTTACATGATGAAAAAGTACATAGGTATATTCCACGTAACTTCATCACCTGGAAAATATCTCTTTTGATTTTGGAAATCAAATAAAATCAAATAAACTTATGTATTTTTTAATATATAAGAGTAAATGCTTATAAGAATTAATTAAATGAAAATTTTTTGTTTAGGAAATATTTAATTATATTTATTTATTTATTTATTTCAAATTAATAATTCTTCGACTCATATTTTCGTCCAATATTTTTTTTTTTTATAGAATATGTCGAGAAAAAATAAGAAATAATTAAATCTAATAATTTTTGATTGTAAGTTGTTTGATAATTTTTTATGAAGTATAATACTACATTAATATACTACATTTTTTACATTGAAAAAAAATAATTGCTGGCCTTCAAATGATCTCCATATTCTCCAAAGATAAAAATAATTACATCATATTATGCAAAACATCCAAATTATTAAATATTTTATTAGAAACGTTTTTTTTTATATTAAATAAACGAGATATAAATTTATATGAAATATTTGTGAAATAACATAAATTATGTTATTAAATTATATTATGTTATTTCACAAATATTTGTGAAATAACATAATAATAAGAATAATTTATTTTTGCTTGATTATCATAATTGAAAAAAAACGAACTAATATGATGAAATATCAACAGAATATGGCATCTATATTAACCACGCTCTTCAAAAATTTGCAAAGCCCACGAATCCCAAACTAATCCCTAAAATTATTTATCTTACAGCTTATGCGTACAGTGTATTTGCCATTTCACCCGCTAATTAGCAATTCTATAAATTTCCAATCTCGATCATCCGGATTATCCAACCTTTTCGAATTCTATCCGAATCGTTGAAAAGCGATCCCTAGGATTTATCTGTCCAACATTATCTTTAAGCTCGGTTCAAACCTCGTTAAAATCGAGTGCGTTTCATTAATCAACGGCTTGATTCAATCGACGCTTAAATTAGTCCCGTATACGCCTTGACAGACGTCGAATTGCCGCTTAATTATACGAGCGTAGAAGCGCGGCAAAAGGCAATCAGAATCGCAATAATGAGACATCAATTTACTTTTGTGCGTTTCTGCGTACAGTGTGTGGCAATTGAAATTTATATTATCCGATGCATCGTCGAAAAGTGTTGAAAATGAAGAGGGAAATTTTTGGCAAAACGAAATCGAATCGAAGGATCGAACACCTCGAACAAATACGTGTTAATGAGCGATAAATAATCCCAATGGAAATGTCCAAGAAATTTCAATGTTTTGATATTGAACGAATATGTATGAAATATAAATTGGAGAATAAATTAAGCTTTGTTGTGCCGCCTGTATTCGTGAACATTATTCGTACAGTTTCATTTTTATGATAATTTGATGAAATGAATGCAAACTCTCTAATATGAATATACGATAAGTATATTATAAGTAAAGTGATCATTAAAAAAAAGAAAATTTAACAAATAAACGTTAAACTTATATTCATGATAACTTCATGAATATATAATCTAATATGAATATACGATATACGAATATAACGATATAAGTGATCTTTTAAAAAAGATTTAACAAATAACGTTAAACGTTAAACATCAGATTTTATTTCCATCATTTTTAATCGTGAAATAAACGCGATCTTGATGACACGATCTGTCTCAAAACCTATGACTTATGATATAAGTTCCAACTGAATTCCAACATACATATTACAATATATTAAAAAAGGAACAGCAATTTAGCAGCAACGAAGCATAATTTGCATTTCAACAATCCCAAACTCTTCTTTCGTTCTAAAACTACGAAACTATCCAAACTTTTTAACTCATCGTCAGAACTTGAAAACCTTCAAATATATAATTCCCCATTTTATCGACACACATACATCGTCGATAAGTAAATAAACTTGCACGACTCGCTTAACAGAAAAAAGGAAAAACAAAAAATATCCCATTCACCGAACAATTAGCCCAAGTTTCCCTAAAGCATCCACTCGATCATCCATGCCACGCAGTCATGCCGCCCTGTTCGATCCCCTAATTGCACAGCAAACAATGATCGCCAAAACAGAGTCATCCGTCTTCCTTACCGGCCGATCTGCCAAACCAGCCTTCAACTCGCGCAACTTCTCATTTACATGCCATACGCACAGCGTTTGGCGCCGCGTTTTTGGGGACTCGAGTCCGGGTATTGTTCCCTGAAACGGTTGTGCCTGACACTGCGATGCTTTCCAAGCATTCATGCATATATATATATATATATATATATATATATATATACACATATACGCTTACACAGACACATAGGTAGAAGCACGTCATCGACACACAGACGCAGATGTCGAGTGGCGTCGCGCACGAGAAAGTCGACGAGGAGGGATCTTCTCAACAGACGCTTCAAGATGCTTAAGTATAGCAGGGTTGTCGCGGCTCGCGAATCCACGCAACTACCCCATCCTCTAGACGTCTCTTCCTTTGGACCTACATAGTTCTAGGCCACGTATTCTCGACTCTCTTAATCTTACCTGACACGTCTCTACCCCCTGGGTCATGTTGCCGGCGCAGAGCATCGTCTGGAACACGGGCTCGTAGCAGGGAATCGCCGAGCTGCAGGTACTCTGGTTCACGAGGGGCACTGCTGTCACTGTGAGTCGAGATTCCACTGGACCGACCTGGAAGTCGTTGCCCAAATTGATCATTGAAAATTCGTAAGTTGATTGGAAATTGATTGAAGACAAATGATCTCTCGTAGAAATGAATAGGGGTGTAATAAAATAGGATAGGAAAAATTTTGTGATTTATTTTTTAATAATAGATCTATTGCGTGAAAAATAATTTCAAATTCAAATTTTAATATTTTAGATATTACTGTGGAAAGGCTCTGTTACATATTGAAAGCAAAATAAGCGAAAAGTATAAAAGAAACTTCGTCTCTGTGTGTTATATTATCGAAAATCTTTTGTATATGTATATGTATTTCGTTAGAAAAATAATCGTGTTTGAGCAACGATCTCTCGAAAAATATATCGATCAAATTTATATATCAACCCTCTTGAAATAGTAGCCAAACTGATTCGTTTGATGGTCAGAGAAATTTTATATTTGTATTTCTTCCATTCGAATTTTTATTTTTATTGGAAAAAATTTTGTATATTGTAGTAGATACATTGATATGTATCTATTATCCTAGAATATTTTTGTATTTTTTTAAAATCTATAACAGTAATCAAATTAGTTTGGAATGAACGATTCAGTTTCATTGTAGAATAAAAAAAAATAGATTTACATATGAAGGATTAACAGATTAGACATCATTATAAAAAACTAATTTTTTTTGTTATTAAAAGTGATAAATAGCACAAAGAATTTTATTCCTATAATTCAACGAATCTAATAAAAAATTGTATTCTCTAATTTTTAATTTATTCTTCGCAATTTTTTCAGTTTTGTGCTCGTATATCCGTAATTTTCAACTATATCTAATATTTTTACTGGTGTAATATATTGGTATGTATGAGCATATAACTGATTATAAGACGTGATAAGATTAATTATTTATGTATTACATATCGATCAGAAAGTTAATTATTACAAGACACAAGCTGTTTCAAAACGATATTTGTATAATTTCAGAAGATATTTTCTGACAGATAGGTAATTTAGAAAAGTGAATAAACATTGAAAAAAGAAAGAATTTTGTTGTTCTTATAAAAAAAAACTAGGATCTATAAAATATGAATTAAATATTTTATAAATAATGTGAATATCTTTTTGTATAAATATATCGACAAAAGAAATTTTAAAATTCTAAATTTATTTTCATAAATAAAATACCATAGTATTTTAACATAATATAATAAATAGTTAAAATATAATTATAAATTTCAAATAAAATATTAAGATTATTATAAAATATCATAACATGATATATAAATAAATGATTAATGGAAACATATATTTAGAATTAAAAATAAAATATATATAAATTATGATGATTTAAACGTGAAAATATTAATAAGCTGATTATTGTATGTTATAAATGCATGTATTCACATACATGTAAGTATTTCACTTACAAAATAATAGCTATTGAATAACAATAACAAGAGGTTAACAATAACAATAGCTATTACACGCTACATATATATGTGATGCAGATATTCGTGTACTATTTAAAAAATTTTTTCTATCGTTGATTTTTGATTTTTCAAACGAACCAAAGAATTTTTATACATTTTTATTATTACGGAATAAATATTGTTTGATCTATTGTTTTTGAAAAAAATCACGAAATATCATTCGTTCAATATCACCTGGGCGTAAACGAAATTGAAATTCACGTTTGTTCTCGTTTCTTTATTCGATGATTGAAAATTGATCGTCAGAAAAGGTGTACACGTATATTTTTCGTCAATTGATATTGTATCAAAGTGGAATCAGATATCGAGATGAAAGTGAATATTTAGTGGACGAGTTTTCGTTTTAATGATCGTACAATAACACGAAAAGATAATCAGCATCGAATAAAACGAATGATCATTCCCTACGATTTTCCATCGCGATACAATGTTGAAAACGCAGCACGTTTTAATCGCATTTGTACGAACATTTATTTTCGTTTGTTCAATATAAGAATACGTATATTTAATAATAATGATCGTCCAGTGATTAAAATTCTTAATCGATCGATTGATCATTTTTGATTCAAAGAAATTAATAATTCGAAATAATAATAAAAATAATGATCGTAAATTATCCCATTTAATTGAAAATTAAATATCTATTTTAATCATTTGCGGTAATATAAATCGATAGTATAAACATTCGATTGAATTAATTATCAAATGATTCGATCTAATTGTTACAACAATTCTTCGATCATTAATTCCATTAAATTATATACATGTCATTATGATAAAATTCGAAAAAATTAGAAATCTTCGAGTAATTAACTTTCTGCTAAGATAAATATTTCACTTTATTAACAAACATCTCAACTCACCAGAGTGTTTCTCCAGCCTGTCACGAAACACATAGTTCCATCATTAAGCTTCTTGTCTTCCTTTTCCGGAAGGGATATCGGTAATAATTTGGCCCCAAATTGTACAGGTAGCTTGAACTGAACATAGTAGGTACATTTTAATATATCTTTCAAATATTTTGTTCAAAATGATATTTCTTTTTTTTTTTTTTTTCACAAACATAAATTCTTCCGCAAAATTTATCTTTTACATTTCAACGATAATCTCGGGAATTAACGTCGTGCACGCTATCGATACGCGTCGAGTTCAACTTTCCAATGATACATCATCGGCGGAACGTTTATTGAATTTTTCACGTGTTCAAAGCTTTCATTTTTGTGAATTTCTCTTTGTAACAAGTTATTAATACATCTGATACCGATACAATCTGTTTGTAAAAGAATTATTCAATTGAAAATTGCCAAGAACATTAGATGGAATAAAAAAAAAAATGGAAATATAAGAAAGTTTCCGGAATAGTCTTCTGTAAATGTATTTTTGACGAGAGATATATTTCATGAAAGTTTCATCAGAGCGGGGATATTTATCGATCAATAATAGCAATTTGTTCAATAACACCTTTTTCAATTTTTCTATCTCGCTGATATCTTTTCTCTCTCTCTTTTTTTTCTCTCTTTTTTTTTTTTTATTATGCGAAAGCGTTTATACATTTTTCGGTTGATTACACTTTTGATTGCTACGAATATGTATTAAAATGCATTGAAATAGGATTATTAGAAATAAATTGAAAAATAATATTTAGAATTCTGAAAAATTTAGAAATCTTAGGATACATCTCCCACGAATTTCTTTCCAAAATTTCTCAAAGTCAGATCAATAATTTTTAATTAAATATTTTCAATATTTTCAATACAACTAAAGAAAATAAAGAAAATTTTACAAGAAAAAATTATTTTATATACCTCGAATTAAACTTGTAAATCTTATCTATCGCCTGAATTTAAAACGTCTCTCGTCTCTGCTTCTATTAAAAAAAAAAAAAATTCTAAAACTATCTCGTACCTTGATTAGCGCGATATCATTGAGCAGAACGTATTTATCAAAATCCTGATGCACAACGATATTGTCCACTTCCAATTGATCTCCATCGGTTGAAAGCGTGGACGAGCGCACTCGCACGGTTACCATGGACGGGTCTGCCCTGTAAGCAATTACAACGTTTCGTTATTCGTGTCGTTCGCGTGGATACGCAATTTGTACGAAGTTGCACGGAATTTCGCAGCCGATACTCACTGAAAAACGCAGGATGCCGCGGTTATTACCCACAATTCGTGCACCAATGCTCCGCTGCACGTGTGTATCCCATATTTCTCGATGGATACCTGTATCGTATGATGAACAATCGCGAGAAAAATAGCGTGTTCGATTTAATATATGTAAAAATATATATTTAGAAAATTGAACGATTAACAATTTTCATAAAATTATATTATACATAAAAATGTAATTTCAATTATTAGCTTCTTTTCATTTTGTGCAAAGATGATAGATCTTTTTGTTGTTATTTTTTTGATGTTTTTATTTTTTTATTTTTTTTATGTTTTTATTTTTTTATTTTTTTTTAAAGGAGAATCCATTGATATAAATGTTTTTCTGCGGAAATTTCGAGTTAGATTAGGTGAATGGGAGAAATGCTCACTTAATGCTCATTCGATAATTTTGTTTATTAAAACCGATGCAATTAAGAATTGCTGGAAAAATGCTAAATAGAAATTTAGAAATGCAAATGTTTTTAAGAATAAGTTTTCTTAATGATTAAAAAATTATTGATAGATACTAATTTCTAGATAGAATTAATTCAATTATTTTAGAATAGATTTATTTACGAGCCAAAGAACAATATTCTGCAACAATATAATAAAGAAAATCTGTTCTCTAATCTTTTATTTCTGTTATTTCATAATAAAACTATTAATATATTTAGATTTCTCTATGAATGATGCTCTAATGAATGATTCTTTTTTCATAGGTTCGCTATAATGAAATTTAGTTCAATTTTTTTATATTTAATATAATATAATAGTTTAACAGAGATATTTCAAGTTTAATTTCTTATTTCTTGGTTTATTCTATTCTAACGATTAAAACTAAATTTCTGCATAACTTACGTGATAAGGATAATCCGTGATATTCACGTATTTCAAATTTTCAGACGCGAGAACTGCAAATTAAAATAATTTTTTTTTCGTAAAACTATATTATAATACAATTTTAAAATCATTTTTCAAATATTACCAACAAAAAAACTTACCATCCGCGAAAAAGATGGAAAATAAGGGTAATATTTTCTTAATTTCCATTTCCAACATCGATCGACGAGAACCAATAACTAACTGGTTGAATTATTGAAGGTGGAACCAGGTCAAAAGTTGTCGATATCTATGCAGAGCCCAAATATTTCGTTGATAACCACTATCGATCATTATCCACTGTCGAAGGTGTGTCATCGCGTGAACTTCAAAGGAATCCATTTCACGTATCTCGATAAATTCGATGGAAAAAAAAAAAAAAGAAGGGAATTTTCAGGAGTTTCGGATTAAAAAAAAAACTTTCATCGAGTTCAAACGAGATTACCATTAGCGATATCGAGACCGAGATAATGGAACAATCGTGTCAAGATTAGTCATATAGTCCAATTTGAAGCAATTCGTAACTAATCGATCCGGGGTATTTGATAAAACGTATTTCTTGTATACGTAATTCGTATCTGCCTTCGATTATTCTCGATATAACTTTTCAAGTTTTCTTGTCGTCAAGTTAGACTACAATTAAAGATTAAAGATTATTAGATATTATAAAAATAGTGTATCTTTGTGTCATTTGATTTTAATTATTTGATTTTAATTATTGATTATTGCATTGTTTCTTAATTGATTAAAGACAAAAGAAGATTAGAAGAAAAAATAAATTGCAGAGTTTTAAAATGATGTGATATTTATTTATAGTTGTTTAATTTCTTTATCAAAGATTAATTATCTTTATTATTTTTATTTTGTTCAAATTAAATTTAAAGATTTAGAAGATAAAAAAGATTTAGATTAAAGAAGATTATAGAAAATTATAGAAGATTAAAGATATATCGATTAAATATTGATTAAAAAAATTTTTTTTTTTTGTTCTATTCACGATATTATATCGAAGAATCTTCGAGATTACTTCTCAAATTTTACAAGTTTTCCATTTTTTATTATAATAATATTCGTGATATACTTTTCTAACAAATGATATTAGAAATTGAAAGCTAATAGAGTAAGAAGATAGAACGATATTTCAAAGAATTCCAATGTGAAAACAAATCAAAGTAATAGTGACTTCGATCTAAGTTATCCATCTGGATAAATTGTTGAAGAAAGTTTTGGGTATTCTCGAGATCAAATGTAGCCAGATGTAAAAATCATTTTGCTATTAAAGAAATATCGTATCGTCAATCTGTCGTCAAATGTCAATATCGAATTTATCTTTTACGAGATCATCGTTGTTTCTTTGCTCTGTAATCATAACAAATTATTTTTCTATATAATTGTCAATAACTGAATATTGACAATTGATAAAAATTTCATGGATAATATTCATTCATAATATTTTTCATATATATTTTTGATGATGTAGCAAAGGATTACAAATAAAATGCTATATTGAATGTAAAACATTCATTATTTCTTTGCAGTTATAATTTTTTTATTATAATTAATATTATAATATATAATAATATAATATAATAATTATATATTATAATATTTATAATAATATTTCATAATATATTTAGTAGTATTTTTATAGTATTTTTATAATATTTTTATAATTCTTTTATAATATTTTTATAATATTTTTAATAGTTATTTTATATATTTTATATAAAATATATTATATTTATAATATATTATATAATATATATAAATTATTATATATATTATTATTATATATATAAATTAATATATATATTATATGATATATTATAATATATTATATTTTATATAAAAAATATATATATATATATGACTTGATTATATGATTATATATGATTATATTTTTTATATTCCGCTATTACTCTTAATCCAAGATCGTAAATTAGCCACGTTCGTATAAACGCCAGGGTACTTTGGCTGAGCACATTTATAACCCCATGACACGATGCCATAGAGAATTCCTCCAGCCACCATAGGACCACCAGAATCACCTTGACAAGAATCCTTTCCGCCTTGGGTGTAACCGGCGCATATCATTCTGTTTGTGATTGTGTTGTAATTCTTATAAGCATTTTGACATTCAGATCTGCTCACTATAGGAAGCGATACTTTCATCAAATGTGTTGAAGTTGGTCCACCTTGCTGTAATAGATATCATATACGAGTTTTGAAAAATAAATTTTATTGAATTTTAAAATAAAAAATACGATATCCATTCATTAAAAATTTATATTAAAAATAGTATCTTATATATTTTTTTCTTATTTGGATTGTAATTCCAATATAATTCACCAATATTTCATTTTAATTAAATATTGAGTAATAAAGTTATATGAAAGTAAATTAAAAGCTAGAATAAGGAATTTGGAATTAAAAACGATTAAATTTTTCAACTGATTGATAAATCGTAAATAATAATTTTTCAGCTAAAAATGTATTTTATTTGTTTTTATCGATACGTTCGAGATAAAATAAATTAAAGATAAAATAAATCCTTGATTTACCTTAAGTGCGCCCCAGCCAGTTACAGTCACTACTGTTCCAGCTTTTGGTTCCGAGGTTGCGAGTTTTATAGGTTGAACATTCGAATTCAATTGTATAGTGCCATCAATCTGGATCAGAATTTTCGTAATTTTAGAATTTCTATTAATTTCAACTAAAACTTCTCTGTCATTCTTTCATATAATTAAAGCGATATATGGCATATGATTGAAAAAATATTTTCAAAGTTAAAAAATTATATTATTACTGACATCATACTGATGCAAAGATAAGGTGATCATAAATTATCGTATTAATCATCATAAATTATCGTATTAATCATCATCATTACTAATACCGAGTGATTGACATTTTTCATTTTTTCTCTAGACGAATGATAAATACAAAAATATTAAAATAAGTAATGCGTGCATTATTAAACTAATTTCATTCCGCGTCTTCATAATTTAATCACGAATAACTACTTTTAATTATGATATGTTTGAAAATATATATATATATATATTGTTATTTAATTAATATAAAATATGTTCATTTAAAATTTTAAGAATTATAATTATTTATTATTGATATCTCATTCATTGTAATTTGTTTTTTTCCTTTTATATTATTAACCACAATATTGTACGGTATCATCTTTTCTAATAATAAAAGAAAATAATTAAATTAATATTTAAAATTAAATTAAATTAAATTAAATTTCTCTACTTGTAATAATCATTTTTGATTTTTGATTATTATTTCTCTTTTTCTATTTTTCTTTTTTTATTATTTTTAATAAGCGATATTAATGTAGAATATTATACATCATCACCTACATATAGTGAGATTTACACATAAAAAGGATAATATTAAATTAATTTCGAATATAATCACATTATAAAATTTAAAATTTAAATATTAACACTGAATTATGCGGCGATCCTCACTTCTTAAAATTAAACATAGAAAATATTTAAAATATATTGTTTAAATTTGATAAATAATAAAGAAATCTGAGAATTCTCAAACAGTAAAATCTTAAAATATTTTTTAAAAATATCAATGATCTGATTATATAAATATAAATCTATTGTAATAATAAATTCTAAAATCAAAAATTAAAAGAAAAGTTATATTATTACATTAGATTTTAAAAATATTATATTGTATATATAAATGTATTATAAATATTAAAGACATATTAATCTTATTATATTATTATCATATGTCTTTATTGTAATTTTTTTCACATACCTGCAGAAGAGCTACATCGTAATCAATAGTTTTAGAATTGTAATTAGGATGCACTATGACTCTTCTTACGGTGTAACGAGTGCCTTGATCTTTATAGTTACTACCTGCTCGTAGACTATATCGACTGGCTGATGATCTGTAATTGATGAAACATCAAAAATGCCAATGATTCCAAGTATTTTCTGTACACGTTTTCTGCATACACGGGAATGCATATTATTTGTTTTAATAATAAATATGCGCATCGTGTTTAACGATCTTATTATTATTACATAATGGAAATCGGGATGGAATGCGAGCCGCAAAGCCAATTTAATATCGCGATAATTTTCATAATTATAATCGTGAATCAATGAACATTCCGATCAGTAGATGATAATGTATATGATATCTAACTATATGAGATTCGAAAAAGAGTTTCAATTTGAAAAATGATTATAAAAGTTTACATGTCATAATTATAATAAAATTTTGAAACAATATAATCATCGAAAATTAATTTTCGAATCGTCGACCAAAGATCATTTTTGATTCGTATTTGATATTATAGATGTCATTTGTATCGTCAGAAACAAAAATGGCCGAATAAGAGTTAACACTGTCAAAAGTATTTTCCTTGTACAGAATGCAAATAATTGCTCATAAGAGAATTTTGAATTCTGAATTATTTTAATTTTTCCAATAACAATGTTGTGTTATTCTTTTATAAAATTCTATTTTTCACCGAATCAATTTTCTCTTTTTTATAAATATTCCGATCTTACAAAGTAACGAAAGTAAAATTTATTATTTATAAATAGAATTTCATAAAACTGTAATATTAAACAAGATCTCGTTGCTTCTCAAATAAACTTTGACTTTTGAATTTAATGATGAATGAATTTTAGTACGAAGTATCGATTTAATGACAAGAGATTAACACAGGAAATGTTAAATTTCATCAAAAAGTTCGTTAAACATAATAAAAAAGCTTAAAGTTGAGGTCACTAAATTTCGATTAAAAGATTTATACAGTAAAATAAAGTAAAATGATAAATATTCATAAGTTGCTTAGCACAAACTGTTAACTTTTCATATTTGTTATTACGTCACACAATGGGCTGCAGTGATGACCCATTGAGAACTGATCACTGAAGCACCGCAAATGTGTCCCGTAGTTTGCAAACTCAGTTGGTGAGCATACTGACTTATCTCAGCCTCAGTACCTCCGACGATTTGAGGATTCGGAAGTAAATGGAATCCTATTAAATTAATACAATAAGATACATGAGACTTCTAGTATTGATCGATCGTTTCAAAATCGCCAAAAAAAAATGTTTCAGGAAAAAGGTCTTAAAATTTCGAAATTTATCAATTTATTCTTTTCTATTTCAACCCTTTGTTTCACACAACAATTATATGTATTTCCATATATTAAAAAGAGTGTACTTTCGTTATAAAGTTTATGATATTAAATTAATACATATAAAATAAAGAAAACATGTGATATTTTTTCAAAACATTTCTAAAATTTCAATTCAATGTTTAATTTTAATCATGCTCGCGTTGTATAGTATTTCTTTTAAAATCACAAGTTATATATAATAAAAATCGGAATAGAATTGTAGAATTTATACAGTGAATTAATATTCTATAAAGAATTATCGATATTTTAAACTATTACAAAAAAATATCGTACGATCTTATTTTAAATAAAATATCGAATCAGTCATATTTTAAATTGTGAAATTTTTATCTTCGCAAGTCTGAATTCGATTTTTTCAAAGATATTTTTATATCATGTAATAAATAGAAAAGATATTTTTCTTTATAAAAATTTGAAAAACATTCAAAAATTATATATTATTTTCATGACTGAATTTACAAGAAAATTTAAATCTTAGATCTTTTCTTTGTAATGATCTTTCAAAACGTACGATTCTTTTCCCCAAGTTTTTACTGAACTTTGAATATTAGAATTGAACAACGAAAATTTAAGAAAACGTAAAATTTTTAGTTAATGTTCTTTACTTTTAAGTAATATTTTTCGACGATCGTATAGAAGAAATAAAGAATTCCTTTTACTTTTACTCACCGAGACAGCTAGTAATGAAAACACTAAGATTGAAGATTAAAAAAAGATTGAAAGAAGAAAAATCTTTCAAAAACATACTTGAAATTTCTGATTTTCAGATACTGATACAAATTCTTTTCTCACATTATTTTCTTTTCACACATGACAGAAAATAATAAATGCAAAGAATAAAGAGCGCAGATATTTTATAGCAAATGATATCGCTAAATAAAAAATGTTTGATAAAAGGTATCTGACGCAAAAATATGATAGGATTTTTTTTAATGTATCTCTCGATAAGAAATTTTTAATGATTTCGCTAGAACGTACGCTTATATGCGTTTTCTTACGAGCTTTTTTTTGCTGAAAAAATTAAAATTAAAATTGAAAGAAAATTAAGTAATATTAAAATTGATAGAAAATTTGTCTTCTTTTTTTATCTTTCCTTTTTTTTTTATAAGTTATAAGTTAAAAATTAATTGTCTAACGAACAAAAAGAGATATAAAAAAGAGATTTTATTTTTATCTTTTGTTATTTTTAATAAATTTCAAAAAATTTTTTAAAAATTTCAAGTTTTGAAGTTTCTAATATGTTTATTTGAAATATTTTCCATTATCTTATATTAGAATCTTATATTATATTAGATTCTTTTAGAATTATACTTTTAATGTGAATTGAATTGAATATGAATATGTGATAAAAATATATTTTAGTAAAATAAGAAGAGAAAGAAAACTATAAATATTAGGTAAAAATTATGTGAAATCAAATAAAGAAATATTAATAGATTTATACAAATGTCTTTGTTAATATAATCTACGTATATTCATATATTATAGAAAGAGTTTATTCCATCTGAATTAACGCAAAATTCAATATTAAATTTTCTTTTTAACACTTCACGATGAACTTTCGTTACGAATCTCTTACTTGTATGTCAAAGAGAACGTGTGAACATCAAACGGTTTCATGCTCTCGAAACAGATTAAAGTGATCCTACTTCAACAAACTGAAGTGCAACTTTAATTTAAAACGAGTTTTGACTTTGATGTAGATATATATCGTGTACATCTTTTCCCTTTGTTTCCTTTATAATTATTTCTTTTTAGTAATCTACGTCGAATATGCATCGATAAAATAACGAATAAATCGCTCGTAATCAAAAAACCAAGTTATATTTTAATTAAAAAGAAAGCTATATTATTAGTAATATCGATGATTAAAATTCTTAAAAATCTATAATTTCATGTTGGAAAGACTTTTTTTAAAACTCTGCTCTATAATAATATCATTAATGTATTAAAAAAATACAATAGAATAATTATACACGATAATTATTCCAGGTATTACATTCAAAAAGATCCATTCTATCTTTATGAATATAACTAATTGCAAGAGAATGCATGAGAATCAAAATAAATACATGTTAATTTTACTTTGGATATTTCGAAAATTTTTTGCGATGATTTTAAAAAAATTTCGCAGAATTAACCCCTCGATAATTTATTAGAACGATTAATTATTCTAAATCTTCTTCAAACATCAGTCTAATTCGTCTAAATTTACAATCGTAACTGTTCTCATTGCATATTATTAGCAACCAGGGACCGATCGCCCGTTTGCGACCGATCGTTAGAATTTGAAGGCTAATTGCACACGTTGATTTACACATTTTGTCAGCAAATATATGGATCGCTTGTCCCGCGATTAAACATCGAGAATTTCCGTATCAGGATTCAAATGGAATAAAGGGGAACCGTGTCACACCGGTGGGTATTAGTTCGTAACAATTCTAAAAGTCAATTGTATAATTTGTCCACAGGGGGAACTTTGTTTCTCACTTTGTCGTTAAATCCCGAATTGCGAACTCGAGCGAAATTACTTATGTTTTTTCATTAATCATCTCGTGTATCGATCGTTACATTTTTTTTTCCTCGATGAAACATCAATTACATCGATTTCAACATTTCTTACAGATAAAAATCGCATTGATTCACCAATATTGGCTGGTATATCGATCTCACTCGTTATATTTTATTTCGTTTCGATAAAAAAAAAAAAAGAAAAAAAACATTGATTTCAACATTTTCACGGATAAAAGTCTGGATGGATTGCAATAAAAATACATAGTCTTTGTTTCGGAATATTTTAACCAATTGTTTTTACAATGTTTCAAAGTTTCGACTAGATTATATCAACTCTATCTCAGGATTCTTAAGAGTTAATTTTAGCTTTCTATCTCTCTAACATCTTTTACACCATCTTTTCTTCTTATCTACTACTGAAACACCGAACGTAATTATCGTTCATTACATTTCCACAGGTGTTCCGTGTCTAGTCCACCAGATTTAATTATCATAATGGTATCCAAGAGAAGGAGCAAAACGAACGGATCTATATTTCTCTTAAGAGCTTATCCTTATCCTTATTTTCGAGAAGAAACAGATTTTTCGTTTATCAATCAATCAAAGATATATTACTCATAAAGATTTTATTTATAACACGCGTGATATAATAATATGTTTTGCAAGCGAGAACAATTAATATCGAACGATTGTATCTCTCTTAATCCTTTAATTATTTAATTATGTATTTTTTTAATCTTTCGTTAACGATATCCAAATTTTTTCATTACAATAATGAGCAATAATAAGATTTCTAATGTTATCACAATAATTGATCATCGTATATTATATGATCATATATATATATTAAAGAAAATAATAATATATATATATTAAAGAAAAAGGAAATCTTTCCTTTTTTTCTTTAGAAAAAGTTGTAATACAAATAGAAATTTAGAAATTACACAAAACTACATTAGTTTGATCAAATAGATGTACAAAAAATTAAAATTAAATTAAAAATTTTTTAAATACATCAAGTTGATAATCCTGGTTCAATCAAGAGATTTTTACAATTTTACGATTAGATAAAATATATTCTTCTTGTATAATTAAAGATAAGATTGTATAAATAAAGATCCATTTTATACGATGAATATTTTGTTCAAAAAATCTATTAAGCAGAAACATTTTCTAAGAAGAACAAGTTTCTAAGAACAACAAGATCAACAGATTCTAAGAGAAACAAATATTTTCTTCTGTTAATGAGATTGGAAAATATAATAATAAATTAAATTCGTTTGATTTCTTTGATTGTTCTCGCCTCATCTCATTAACCACCCAACAAGTGAAAAGGAAAAGGAAAATTAGGAAAATTAGTTTTCAACAATGGCGACCGAGCAATTTTCGAATTCTGCCCGGAAGCTCGATCACTTCCCCCATTGACGTTTCGATCGTGAAAACTTTTAATCCGTAAAGAGAAAGGAATCGCGCGAATCTCTCATAGCTTTACCAGCAAAGATTCCATCGACATCGTCTGGTTCATTGCTAATTAATTAGTTTTCGATCAGACCGACTTTCGAATGAATGATCCGGTTTCTCTCTTCTTTTCTTTTTTCTTTCCTTTTTTCCCCCTCTCTCCTTCACTGATAACCCCTCTTAATCCACGGTGGAACTTCCCTAATAGAAATTCTTGCTGCGATTATTTCGCCGATGGAACGAGTTAAAAGCCAGACTTACGGTCGAGCGGAACGGGTCGCGCGTCTACCGGAAACGGAACGAAGAGACGAGGGATGTTCGGCCTTTAAGGAAACACTTTCGAAAGTTTGCGTTGAAAGCAGAAGTAGCTGGTTGAGATGGTTCTTAGTTGCTTTTGCTACGTTTGTTTTTAGAGCGCGTTTCACCAGGCGGTTGAGAACTATTGAGTGGTGGGCTTAGAGACTTCCTACTTTTGGGTATTTTGATACTTGCTTGTTTATCGATCGCTTTACTTAAGATAATATCTAATTTAATCGTAATCGTGATTGGAATGGTGCATACACTTTTTAAATATTCGTATTTAATCGGTAATTGTTCATATTTGCTTGATTTTCGTGATCGATGAAGTTACGTGAAAATGTATTTCTTGTACGAATATTTATTTCATTGTATGTTTCTATAAATAGATTAATCGTTTTTAAAATTGTAGTAAGAAAAAATCAGAAAGTTTCAAAAATAAAATAAAACGGATAAAGTAAGATCAGATATACTTGAAAACAAAATAATACGTACGATATTAAATGCATATCACTTGATAAAACTTTTCTATCCAAAAACTTATTTTTAACATAAAAATATCTTGCTCCAATTTGGAGTAATACGAATATATAATTATTAAAGTAACTCAAAAACTCAATGAAGCTATTTATAGATTTATTTTCTTCTTTTTTCAATCTAAATTATAAAGGCAACCTTTTAATATTTTATAAAAAGTTAAAAGGAACGTTAGATTAGATTAGAAAAAAAAAAAGATTTTAAGGAATGACTGTAAAGTGATATTGGAATTTTTTTTAATTTTGATTTCAACGAAGCTGAACGCGTCAAAATCCCACTAAATATATTCTCCATAAAGGAAATGGATTTGGCTTGCTCGCATAGCAATATCTTTAAGATTTAGCAAACCGTGCCGGATCAAATGTAATACCACGACTGCACGACAGCAGGCAGCGTTGTCTACTTATACGCCATATTTCGAGGATTGTTACGACGGGGTGAAAGAGTAGCACGACAGGCTGTGCACTCGCCGACATCGGCCGCCATCGTCGATTAACATATAAATCAAATCTCCGCCAGTGCAGGGAATCCACCCTTCCAACCGCCCTCGTGCCCGACCAACCATCCTGCCCACCCCACCCCTCCCCTCCCTCTGCCGGATTTTGCTGATCCTGCGTAAGATACGTGTCCCCGCCAGCCTGTGCTCATCCTTGGGAATCGCGTGCAACTTTCGTTCCACTCGTTGAGAACCCGAGACTAGTCCCGATACACCAACCTCCCCAAAACTTCTCTGAGATTCTCGTTGCCCTGATTGAATATGTCACGGGGAGGAAACCAACTGTCTGTCAAGGAATCGAAGCGATTTTCGCGCGAAACTTCTTTCGAGCGACTTATCTTGTGTCGAGCGATTGTAAAAGAAGTATAATTCAGTTTCTCTCTCTCTCTCTCTTTTTTTTTTTATTTAATTGAGTCGATGCGTGAGCGAATCATTTTCAAAGATATGAACAATTTGGAAAAAAGAATGGAATTTGTAATTTATTTGTATATATATATATATATGTATGTGAATTTGGATTAAGCA